GCAGAAATTTCACATGGTTTTTCAAAAAAAGGAAAATGATGAAAGCGAAATTCCCGTGAATTACTATTGTGCTTGTATTAAGTGCAATAAGGTATATCAGTTTAAAGATTCATCAGGTAAAAACTTTGGCACTAAAAATCAGCAAGAACATATTAAACATTGTGCTGTAGTCTTGCCAAAGTCACAGTTGAAAATCCAGCAATGCTTGAAACGAAAAATTCAACCGTCTCCTCAAGAATTAATGATGTTGAAGCATAGACAGATCTTTTTCTGTGTTGATGGTTACCACTCATTCAAATCTGTTGAAAATAAAGGGCTTCTCAATTTGATGCAGAGCTGTGTTGAGTTAGGTGCCAAATATGGAAAGTTTGATGTTTCTGACGTTGTTGTGGGAAAATATTAGTAACATTTAATTTTTAATTAATTTTCATGTTATTATATTACACTTGCAGTGTAATTACTTCACCAGTGTGTTTTATTACACATATGATCTTGTATTTTTGAGTTCTGCTTTTTAAATATCATTTGTAAAAATTTGCCTGTTTGGTAAAATTGCGACTCGTGCAGATGGGTCGTGGGTTGGGTCGGGTTGGGTTGAAAAGTTGCATTTTCAGGCGGGTTGGGTTGGGATGGGTTGAGTTAAGTGATGGGTTGGGTCAGTAAAAATGAACCCATGTCCACCTCTGTCGATGACATCGAAAGCTTTGGATAAGTCTAGAAAAATGCCAATGGAAAGATATTTGTTGTTCATTTCATTTAATATATGCTGAGTGAAATAAAGAATGGCAAGCTCAGTTGAATGGTTGGGTGTGAATCTGTATTGGTTGTTGCAGATAGTTTTATTTGAGCTGAAGAAATTAGACAGTTTTTTAAAGAAAGGTTTTTCAAAAATTTTTGACCGCAGGGAAAGAACAGAGATGGGTTTGTAATTGTTAATGTCATTTTTCTTTCCTTTCTTAAATACTGGGATTTTAGATATTTTAAATGAGTCAGGAAAGGCTCCAGTGCTTAGTGATAAGATGAAGGTATGGTTAAGTGGTGATACGATAGAGAAAATTATGTTTTTGACAAGGAACATGTTGAGTCCATTGTCAGCATAGCTCTTTTGTTTTCCAAGATATTAACAGTAGATAATATTTCTTTTTCAGTTACAGGATATAGACTAATAGAATATGGTGTGGAAGGGCTCATAAAATCTGTAAGACTACCATTGTTGGGAGGCTGGTTTGAGAGTAGTATATATATATATATATATATATATATATATATATATATATATATATATATATATATATATATACTTATGAAAATCACAGCATGTTCGGCGTTAGTTAACTTCCAAAAGTTTAACAAAAGTTATTTCGATTAAAAACAAACGACATAAAAAACACACACGCACAAATAAACAAAAATGTATATTCATATTTGAAAAATGTCTAAAACGTGGTAGTTGTCACATCTCAGATAATATTGCACTCCCTTCGGATCCTTTTTGTCATTAACTTAATTATTATACAACTTAAATTAACTAAAATGAAAATAATAAGAAATAAATAAATAACCAATATATTTTTTACACTGACTTAAACACGTGGTTAGCTTAACCATTGCTGTGTGCATAAATATCGATTCAGAAACGAAAAAAAAACATTTTAAAACTAAAAAAATGATAATAAATATGATGACATCAGACAACGATAATGGCGTCATAGAATTATTTTTCGTCTAATTTAGATTGTCAAAATAATTATAATATTGAGTATAATAATACAAGAATTAACGGATGGGTATAATTAATAATATAATGAAAAGTAATAATAAGCATAATAAGCATGAATAAATAAAATAAAATCAAGTATACACATACTAACGCTCACACACACCTCAATCTCACACACAAACACACATGAATAAAATAATAGACTAAAGTGTACACATATTAACGCTTACACACACACACACACACACACACACATATATATATATATATATATATATATATATATATATATATATATATATATATAGTTGTACGCAGAAGTATAGTGAAAATTATTAACAACTGCTATAAAACCGACAAAACTAGTGAGTAACCTTACATCAGATTTTGGAAAAACAAAACAAAATGAATAAACTAATAGTAAACAAATTAATAAACAAACAGTAAATTAACAAAACAAAAATATATATAAATAAATTAATTAAAAAATATATAAAAAATGACTAAACTATGCACACCAACGAATGAAAGAATGAGTTATAAGCTACAAATGAACGTAACAACAATGAAAAGAAGAAGATGAGATGAAGAAGTAAAAAAAATTATAGTGGAAATAAAGATGATGATGATGGAGATGATGATGAAGATGAAAAAGAGTAGGATAAAGAAGAAAATTAAAGATAATAATAGTGATTGAAATGTCGTTAAGGGCGACACATATTGGTGACAAAGATGACTGTTAAGATCATTGATAATAAGGATGTTGTCCACGTTGATGGAAAAAGCTTAATAAAGAAATTATAAGTAATGCAAAACAGACAAACGGAGAATAAAATAAATATAAATGGATAATACAATTTAATTGACTTTTTGATTCCAAACGAAAAAAACATTTTTCAATGAGCCAGAGCTTTAACATTATTGACTAATAAAAGGTTTGACAAGTGTAAATATATACGCATACAATAAAGTAAGGCACACGCACACAAAAAATACACATACACACTTACACGCACACACAGACAAACAGAAACACACACTCACACATACACACACACAAATGCATCAAGAATGTAATCGCAGCTCCATAAGTATGTCTTTGAAGGTGGGTCGCTTCATGGGGTCGATGCACCAAGTCCTGCTCATGATGCTGTACATGAAGGGGGGACAGCCCTCAGGGGGGTCCATTCGCTTTCCCCTCTCCACGTGGCTCAGTACTTCTTGTAAGGGCTGTTGTGAAATGATGACGGTGACGATGATGGAACTGATAACGAAGGACCGAAAAAATATCTGATACAGGTAGAAACAAACTGGAACACACAAGCCGAAAAAAACAAAATACACGCACACACACGCACGCACGCATACAAAAATATACAATAAGTATCACTAACAATTCTTGGGTAGGGCACTCTTCCAAATGAATATATCTCCCAGAGCAGGATGCCATAACTCCACACATCTGATTGACTAGTGAACATTTTCTGTGCGGTGGTAGGTGTTAGTGGTGGTGTTGATGTTATATAATATTTGGACCTAAAATTAAAACTAATAATAAATATTTATTAACTTATCTCTGACAAATGGTGACACAACCTTGTCACGAGTTGAGTCAACCAAGTTTCTTGGAATTGTCATACAAAGTGACTTTAATTGGACGAAACATGTACACATGATAGTTAATAAATTATACAAAGTCATTGGCGTACGCAACAAGCTAACTCCAAACACGATGCTTACTTCATTTACTGCAATGTATTCTGGGGATCAACCTTTAAATATCTAATAAACAAATTACAGGTACTTCAAAAATATTTTTTACGCACTTGCTTTTTTTTAAATAGGTTTGATCATACTAAACAACTATTTGCTAAATATAAGATATTAAACATTCATCAAATCAATATATATATAACCCTTGTCTTTATATATAAAGTTATAATCAATGTAAACTATAGGTTTTTAAACTCTTTTAAATATACAAAATCATCAACAAGACAGAATGGTATGCTGTTATAAGTAGAACTAGGACAAATGAAAGAAATTGGTCGGTTCGTGGAATAAAGCTATGGAATGCTATTGTCAGTGTTGAGACTAGAACTATGTCAATCAATTTGTTCAAAAATTATGTTAAAGAAAGTTTACTTAGTGATGTTGTTGAAATTGGCTAAATTTTGAGAATTGTATGACTTACTGAATTTTATTTATTTTCGTTTTTTCATTTCATCTGAACTTGAATAACAATTAATTTCTGCTCAAACTTTTATTAGTAGACAGTTTTTGTTTCTATTGATTATGATATTTTATTCTGTTAAATATAACATTTTGATTTATTGCTTAACCCTGCGATGACGGCTGGGGTAGATTTCTACCCCAGAGCTACTTTCTAAGCATGAAAAAAGAAAACTACGCAAAAGCTTGGGCTCTCTTTTTATGACTTTTCCTAAAATCATCTCTTCTCTTATTTTAAAACTAAAATTTGATAAAAAAATAACGCTAGAGGGCAGTTTTGAATGCATATAGCACCTAGGACGATTGGGGTTGATTTTTACCCCAAATTAAATACACTTTTTTAAATATTTAAAACTTTATGAATGTAATGGAGAACAATTAAATTTTATGTTACTATTTTTATTCGATTGTATTATCATCAACTATAAAAAATTAATGTCAAACTTTTCAAATCTTTGGCAATAAGCAGTTCAACACTTTTTTTTCAAACAATCAGCTAAAATGGCGTATTCTGAAAGATTTACTTTAGAGCAAGCCAAACAATTGATAATTGATAATTCTAGTGACGAAGAGAGTATTAGTGAGCATGAAGAGATTACTGATTATTCGGATGTAGAATTTACTGACGAAAAAGGAAATGAACCTTTTCTCGTTGAAGACAGCGCCGACGATGATGATGAAATAAAATATACACTTCAGAGTTCAAGTAAGATAAGATTGATAAAAAATACAATTTTTCAAATGTATCAAATAACAATAATATGAATATATAATAATACTTTCAGATGTACAAAATGACAGCTCTAATTCAGATCTAGCCTCTTCCGATGAAAGCAATGATAATGAAAAAAGCAAAACATTTGTATCTAAATGTGGAAACATAGTCTGGCAAAATGAACCAGTTTACAACAAATGTGGAAGGCGTGGTATGATGAATGTAATTCACGGGAAACCCGGTCCAACAAGATTTGCTAGAAAAAATGTAGACAGTCCTATTTCTTCATTTCATCTATTTTTTAGAGATAATATAGTTGAAAACATTTTGAAATGGACGAATAAGGAAGGAGAAGAGAAACAGATGAGTAATCGGAAGGAGTTAGATAAAAAAGAATTTTTTTGCTATATTGGATTGCTTATTCTTTCTGGAGTACACAAAGCAAAAAATGAAGCTGTCAATGAACTTTGGAACAAAAAGCGGGGACGCACATTATTCAATGAAGCCATGCCAAGGGATAGATTCAAACAAATAAATAGTGCTTTGAGGTTTGATGATGCATCAAAACGAAGGCAAAAGAAAAGTGAAGACAAATTGAGTCCCATAAGAGAATTGTTTGAAATGTGGGAAAAGACATTAGAGGATGCATATATTCCTTATGAAAATGTCACTATTGATGAACAACTCCTAACTTTCAGAGGACGTTGTTCTTTCAAGCAATATATTCCAAGTAAACCTGGAAAATATGGACTAAAGTTTTGGATGATGAGTGATAGTCAAACTTACTATGTAACTCGTTTACCAATTTATATAGGTAG